TTGCGAATAACTACTCTTATATTCATTACGCTGACTAGTAACTTTTATATTTCTAATTTTTTATTAAAAATTAGTAAAATATTTTTAAAAATCTCGAATTTTTCGAAATGCATTTGATGACCTCGTTATAATATACAAATGACCCAAGTGACATCATAAGTAATCCGATAACATTCGGAAAGAAATTTTAAATTGTCTCCTTTATGAACCGAATTCGAAAGAAATCGAATTAACGCGCTGCATAATATTGAAAATCTTTTGGAGAATGAATTAATTCAAATAATCAAAAGACAGGAATTTGGAAAATGTTTCAATTTTCTTTTTACGCAATAGTCACAGAACTTTTGCTGGTACTTATTAAAAGAATGTTTCCAAAGATGTCAGAAAACAAGCATCAGCACTTGCTCAGTCTTACCCTAAAACAAAAAAAAAGATATATAATTTGAATGGTAATTTAAGGATCACTTCTAATGGATGAGTCACAATGGATTAATTTCTAATTGATCTGTTAATTAATTTCAACATATAAAGCTTCCTACCTTTTGATAAAGCAGTTTCAATTTTGGTTTTCTCAATCAGAAAGCAAATTTAAGTTATATTGGATCCAATCAAATAAAGTACAATTCCATTATTCCGGGATTTAGACAAATAGATTATATTTTGATTTTTATTATTAAAAATCTATCTGAAAAAGATATTCAATTTTTGAAAATGACATAATTAGTTGATTCATTGATTTTATTATTCAAAAAATATTGAATTACTTTTTCATCGAATTTTTATCTTTTTTTTAGAAAGACATTTGATTATCTATGTCGCTAACACAAGATCCATAGTATGATTAATCATACCATGGTTAAATTATACTTTTCTTTTAAAACTTGTGTGTATATATATATATGTATTTGTGTGTGTGTGTGTGTGTGTGTGTGTGTGTGTGTGTGTGTGTGTGTGTGTGTGTGTGCGCGCGCGCGCGCGCACATTCTACACATATCCATTCAAGATAAAAAAAAAATGATTATATTTCCTTATCGTTACTTAAAAAATATAGTATGATGCCATTATTAATAAAAAAACATCAATTCATTATATTAAAAAAAGTAAGAATAACAAGTAACATATTACATTCCAATTCTATATATTTTCTTTTAGAAATAGATAATATTCAGCTAAATAAAAAACAATTAATTTTTTACCATAAGAAATTTTGGAAATTTCTATTTCTTGTTCAATATCGAAATGGATTAGTGTCCAAAAAAAATAAATTAATTGTTACAGATAGAGGCAAATAACAATGATAATTTATCTCATTATCATTCAGTTGCTGATCTCAATTTTTTAGTAGATGTAGCTCAGATATTTTCTTTTTCCCTAAAACATGAATACAAAAATGCATATTCTGATTTTTTTTATTTACATGGATCCAAAATTCATACTTACAGATCTAAAATTCTACGTACAGCTTAGTCTACATCATTCCAATGGATATTTTATAATGTTCAACAATTCAGTTTAGGGGCAACTTATTGAATCATTTGGATTTTTGGTTGATATTAAATGTAAATGTCTTCTTGATTCTATTGTAGAACTATTATATAACAGAAAAATTTTGTATATATCTTAAAGTCATATTATTCCAGTAAACTTATGTTATGAAATTTTAGCAAAATTTTTGGAGTAAATATCTAATTTAATTTTATCTCAGATTTTATAAAAATATGCTCAATAGTTTTTTATGCACATAACAGAATTTAAAAAACAAAAATAGATACACACGTTAATTAAAGGGATGTTTCTGCAGGAAATCGGTATTTTACTGTAATGAGATATAGGCTACTTTCCTTTTAGGAAACAGTTGATATAAAATATTGTTTTATGTATGTTATTTCATTGAGTAGAATGATAGAACGTTAGTATAGATTGTCTTCTAAAAGAAAAGCAACCATAGTGTTATATACATTCATGCTGTGGAACTCGTCTATATTTGTGAGATTTCCTAACCTAAATAGGATATTATATTTAATGCATTACAATTTTTACGATTTTGAGTGACTTTTTTAAAGTTCTTATTCTACACACAAAACGTTAATGGTAATTAAGCATATTTTCATCAAAATATAAGATATGAGAGTAAAACCAAATATATTTTTAATCAGATTTCCTAATTTGATTTCTGTTATTCAATTTTTATAATCGAAGCATATAAAGCAAAATATCATGTTCTTACCAAAACTCTTTCATTTTATAGGTATTATTTCAATATTGGGAGAATTTGGAAGAATGAGGAATAAATTCTAATAAATTCCTCAGAATCACAGAACAACGGTATACTCCAGTATGCTCCAATATACTCAATATACGACGCATGCGTAAAGCTGTAATGATGCATTCACACTATACAGTGCGCAAATATTCGATGTACGACGATACGATAGGTATTCAATTGACGCGTTCTCAACAATTAAATAAATGCTCGCTGCTATTGGTTTCTTCCACTATAATTTTGCCGACAGATTATTATTTATTTTTGTACCTCGATTTCGAATTAACAAGGTGTGAATTAATTATATATTTCGTGTCATTATTCTGAATATATTATTTATATTGCCATAATCTGTAAAAATTAACCAATCACAGACAAATAAAAGAGGAATAATCGACTATAATTGGTCAATTCCTACAAATTACAAATTTAGATTATCAATTATATTCTTTTAAAAATATATGCATTAAAATATATGCGTTAAAGTTTTAATAACAAATTCTTTATTAATGTAATTATTAAAATATTTTTATATATAATATAAAATATAGTAGAATTTCTATGTAGAATTTCAGACGTGCTCCTTGGTGCCCCTGTAAAGCTTAATTGTGCCCACAATGCTAGAAATCGATCCGAGATCTCGGATAAAATTAACAAATCACATTTGAACAATTCAATCACATGACCAATGCGATTGGTCAACTCTTCCTTTATGAGATTTCAGACTGATTTCTAACATTGTAGACACAAGGCTTAAGAAAAGATCTTAACGTATTGGCAAGACTGCAATGTGAACATCGAACGAATTTACAGAACACAGAAGTTCGAACGTTATTATTTATTGCAAATATCGCATAAATTCGATTATTATATGCAACGAATATTGAATCTGATGGAGTGCTGATACTCGAATGGAATGAAGGAATTCAAGAATTAAATGGCTTATATTTACAAATAAAATATGTATTCGAATATCTGCTAATTATTCGTTATGTACTCAGCTTTAAATATCTTTAATATATTAATATTTTAAGGGCCGATTGTTCCATCTTTTGATAAATTTTACCTGTTAGGTAAATATCTGGCAATCTGTGATTGGATAATCTTGCTATTTACTCAACAGATAAAATTTACCAAAATATGGAACAATTGGGTCTAAATAATGCTGAATCGGCTCCGAGGAAGGAGCGGAGGCCATTTTACAACAAAGATTAAATAATATTCAGTGTTGATTAGCACCTTGTTTATATGAGACCTTCCAATTATACTTACGAAATGTCGAAGCTCGTAGCTGGAAAACTGGCATTTGTTACCGGTTTGTGCATTTTTTTTTTATATTAAAGCTGCTTATAACTTAATTAAAATTACTTTTTTATACTTTATTAAAACTTAATTTTTAATATTAGCTCATAACTCGATTAGATTAACAAATTAATAAATTCACAATTCAATTAGATTAACAAAATTAATTTTAAATATTCTATCATTTTTTCTGTAATCATTTTGTTTATATAATATTTTAATTATATCATAAATTGTATCGTAAATATCGAGTTAATTGTTAGCATTTAACAACTCAGCAGATTTGATATATTTTTCAGGCTTCAGCGTTTACATGTTGATAACATTGAATCATGTTTAAAAAGATACAATGATTTCAATATCATATTTAGATGAGAGTATATATTCATTTAATATCTTTTTGTATATAGAAACAAAGATTTAAAAAACAAATACCACTCGCTACTCTGTTTAAGATTAATATAATTAAGCGACTAAATAACTAAGAAAAGACGTATTTAAAGGTTAGGAAATCTGTTATACCGATGAAAAATAAAAGATAGAGCATGCGTTAAACCTACGTTATAAAATAATGCGCGAAATGTAATAATATGTAATTTTAACATAATTGATGTCTCTATGCAATAAAAAGATATTTTATAATAAAGTGGACATTTTGTTTTACATGAAAAATTTTTATTAAGATGATAAGTTATATAACTGTACGATTCTACATAGTTTTTTAACTTTTCACGCGAAACGAAGTTTCTCTTCACATTGCTCGATCGATACACAGTGTATTGCGTATAATAAACACAATATACTACTGAACGAAACATATGTGAAATAGTATATAGATTTTTTATTTTTGAAATTTTAAACATTACTACAGAAATATAAAATCAATTATTTGTTTTAATAATTAAAAAGATCATATAAAAATATTGCTTATATTTATACTTATATTTATAAATATATGAAATTGCAATTTTCTTACAGCAATTTTTTTTTTAATTTTTAACATTAAATATCTTAAATATCTTTTAGTAATAATAATAATAATAGTACCAAAATTTAATGTTAATATTTCACAATTTCATTATTCTTTCCTTATATTTATGTGAAAAAAGTTCATGTTAGGTAAATAATATGTGAAATATTCATATAAATATAATCTTGAAATCTATAACACAATTTTGACTTTTTCAATTATGTTACAGGTGCTGGAA